TGGAAAATTTGATACACACAGAACATAGGAAAGCAATACATAACCTTCCTAGTGAGCATGAGTAAATGGATAGCAGAACAGGGTTTAGGAGAGATAACAAAAAGACAGAATTTATTAAGAGCTACAAAGGAAAGGAAATTGTGCAGAGCCATAATTGCCGACATCTTGAAGAGACATGGCACATAAAAGATGTTTCTGTTTTATCCAATTACTGTTACAAGATAATCCATAACAATGTACAGTGGAATAATGTAATCAAAATGTGAGGTTTATTGACCTCATTTTTAAAACTCTTAAGAAATTTCTGCTTTGTCAGTATGCCCACTCTGTTTCACTGTGTAACCTTTGCATCTTTATGGATTTTATCACCTTGTATGGGATGAAATCATCTTAGAGAACCTTTATGCATTCTATCAGCATGGCTGGTGTTAACCTCCAGGAGAGGGACACATTGCACCTACACAGGCTCATTTTTTTTTCCATTGACATGAAGTGGAAAGATTATATTGTTAGATCTGCTGCTAAGAAAGTTGGTTCACTGTGTGGTGCTTGACAATTTTCATTGCCACAATCTATCTTGTACATTCTACCATGTATTGAATATTGTTGCCATATCTGGTCCAGTGGTTCTTCTATGTATTGCAATTCCTGACTTGGCATCTTGGCTTCAATCACTTTCCCAATTCTATAATGTACCTTCCCTCTGCCTTTTCTATAAATATTTTCATGGCAATTGTTCTGATAAGACTTTCTCTTTGGTATCTCATATTATGTATTTCAAGTTAAGTACTTGATTGGCAGTTAGGTGCCATCATTTTACAGCTGAAATGGCCAGGAACCATAAGTTTCTTACACTTCTCGTAGAACTGTTTTTTTGTCTTTCAGTCAACTTTGGTTTTCCAAGATTATATACAATGCCAATTGTTATTTTCTGTCTTAATTCCTTTCTTCCTTAATTCTTTTATTGTTCTCTCCCCTTAATGATATTTTTCTTTTTCTCATATTCTTTCCTATTCAGTAACACCTTGTCTTAGTGGCTTTATTGTCTTGCTTGGAGTGAAGTAATTTTAAAAAATTACTTAAAATATCAGAATAATTATTTTTCAATTTTTTTTTTTTTTTGGTAGTGGATCATGATTGGTACTTTTCAGTATCCAGTGTAATTTTTAGTACCTCTAGAAGTAATCTAAAAGATTTATAGTTATACTAAACCTCCTGAGTTTACACTTCAAAAATAGGTTGAAATAGTGAAATGCCCATAAAGTTTGTAAGGATATTATCATTACTAATGAATAAAAATATAAAATATAATAATAATGATAAATATTATAAATAAAATAAAACAACATTAAAACTTTGTTTGAAATAAATTAAATAAAACCAAAACGAAAAATAAGTTCTCCCAAAATGCAGCAGATACATTCCCTGCCTGAAAACAGAATTTGTGCCAAAAGTCGCTGAATTCAGTTGTCTCTGACAACAACCATTGAAAAGTCTAGATGTCCATATCCTCTCCTCAGGACATTTGTTTGTTATAATATGAAATGACTTCTTCCTTTTATCGCATGCAACCTTAAAATACTTGTAACTAAAATACACACACACATCAGTACATAAAAATAAATTGTATGATTTTAATTTACAATGTAACATGCTTTTAGTGTTATTTCTGTGAACACAAGACTATTTCTACTGGTGAGTGATCCCACTAGTTCAACAATAATATAAAAAAATTAGTATGTCAACAGAATTTCATCATTTCTCTTTATAAAGATACAATTCTTTATCTTCTGTGATAAGTTTTTATTTCATAGCTTGTTAATTTATGTCACTATTTCAATGACAGGTTTTTCTTTTTCACATTTTCAGAGAGAATTTCATAGTGGTCTTTAAAATAAAAAGGATGCTCATCAGTTTGGTGGACTAAAAATAGTAGTAACATTTTATCATCACCAATTGGACACTCCTGTTGCAAGAAATTGTTGCACTCTCAATGAGGCTTCATGCTTTTAACGTCTGAGACTCAAGTTTACTCTAGACCACAAGTAGAACTCATCTAGATGATCCATGACTAAAGATGCTGGTAAAATGACAGGTTCCTTGTACCACTCCAGAATGTACCTGACTCCTGCTATGTTTGATCTTAGGCAAAAAATGAGTATTTCTTCCTGAACTTGAGCTGACAAATTCTCACTGTCCAGCTTTGATAGTTCAAAATCATTGGCATCATTTTGCAGTTGATGATATATTTTCTTCTCTATTGCCACTTTCCCACAGACACAATGTTACAAGACTATTGCTACCATATTACTATTTCCATGGCAAATGTTCACATGACTTCCACTTTTTAGGTCTACATTCAGAGCTTTATAGTTAGGACTCGTCATGCTATGTCCGTGGAATTGAGTCACCAACATTTACTGCCTTTCATTTATGAGGGGGAAGTTCCAATCAGACAGCTTATTCTTGAAAACTGCTACTTTGTGGAACAAAATCCAACATGGATGCTTCCCTGAAGACTACAATCTTAACCTTTTCTTGTCAAGTGTCAACTCTGCTGTTTATCTTCCTTATTCTCACTTCCTTCTGTCTCCTCTTACATTCATATAACACACCTCATTCAATAACCCTCTAACATGAGTGGCTCTTGAGCCTTGTATTAGGTGAACTTTAGTAGAAAAATGAATAAAAAATACATATTTTCGTATGCCTATATTTTCATACACACATACGACACTGAAAGAAATTTAATATTTATATTATCAAATAACATTTTCAAATGCTTTGTTCAGAGTTTTATCCAGTTTATTTTTATGAAGAAAATGCATTTGAGAATTGTGGAAACCATAATTTTTGATACGATTAAACTTTGATAATTCAAATGTATTTTCTTTGTATAAAAAAATGAGAAAAATTAACAAAAATTAATTCAACAGATTCTATTCAAATGTTAAGTATTATTTCCTAAATGTTCAAAATACTTGTCTGAGATGACATTTTTGAATGGGTTTAGTTTGGACAATGTTCGGATGATTTCACTTTTTCTCTTCATTTCACACCCTGGTAATCAAATTCCTAAAAACTGAGGTACAGATAATCAAGGAATTACTATACAGTCTGTTAAGTACCATATATGATGCATGCTTTGCTGATAATATCTCTTGATTCATGACTAACTAGGCAGAATATGTTCCCACGGTAGATTACCATTTATTTCTGCAGTAGACTGGTTGCCAACCAAGACAATAGCACCCAGTCTGTCTTGCTATTAAACCCATAGCTGGGTAGAAGGGATGGATTCATACCTTTTCCTTTTTTTACATATAAATGAAAATAACAAACCCAACTGGAATTTGAACTTGGCTCTCCAATTTCTCATTCCAAGCCATTATCTATTACACCATGCATCCAGTACTGTATATATACTGTTTTATACCAATAAACATTTCATTGAAAATTTTTATATAATTTAGATAAAGTGACATGGAATGTGACGATGTACTATACCAAATACTAGATAAGGTATTGAAAGACATAATTTCATCCTGCCAGCAATCATGTATGGTACACCAGTGTGTGTATATATATATATATATATATATATATATATATATATATATATATATAAATGGCTTATATAGATGCCTATTTAAATGCTACTTTATGGTAGAGCAAGCAAATATGTATATAGGTAATAGTGTTTTGAGAAGACATACCTTTCTCTCTAACTAAACAAAGAAAAGAGATCATATGAAGTTAGTTAAATTTATACTTTGTGCTTCCCACCTAATAATAGAAAACATACAGGTAACAGACAATAGCAAAGGTACTACTAATGACTATTATAATAGTAATAGTAGTAGTAGTAGCAACATTCAAAGTAGCACTTGTCATAATGTAAAGGGTAAGGTGGGGAGTGATAGTTTTATTTGAGTTTCATAATATGTAGAAGAATGTTCATCTCACAGTATCACCAGCACACCAACCCAACCCAACCTCATCATTGCCATCTCTACCAACACCACTAGCGTTACCATTACCATATCAGATTTTTTCTGTAGGAATCTATGCTAATAGCTTCAAGTATTCTTCAAAGTTACTCAGGTTTCAAATTTCTTCAGGTCCATTCTACAATCATTTGAACAGATAAATTCCAATTCTTGACGATGATCTTTCTCTTTTTTTTTTCTCTTTTAAAGTTTCTTCATTTTTTTTTCATTCTTCTTTCTCCATCATTCTATTTGGCTTTTTTTTTCATTAGTTTACTTGTAAATTTTATTCTTTAACATCATATTTTTTATTATGATCATAATCATTTTACTTTTTATCGTCATTTTATCATCATGATCATCATCTTATCTTTTATTGTCTTATTGTTTATCATGATGATGGTCTTATTCTTTATTGTTGGTAAATAGTAAGATAGTTGGAGTCTTTTAGCTCTTTAATGCAATCTGTCTGAATTAGCATTTGAACCTTGTAAAAATTCTACAGAAATCAAAACACTGTCAACTGATATAGCTGTAGGCTGATACAGCACACACAATCTGAAATTATGATATCCTTTTTTTTTTTTTTTTTTTTAGCTTTCATTGGTGGTCTTATTTTTTCATGGTCTTAAGGTTTTTAAATTTATTTCAATTCTATATTTTAAAATGCCGCTTTTTATCATCATTATTGTCAACAAAATCAACATCTACATTAGTTTTTGTTAAATGTTTTGGGAACTTCACTTTAATTTTTCAATTCTTTCTGGCCATAATTTCCTTTCTTTCTTTTTGATTTTTTTTTGTTTTTTAACTTAATCTAATTTAATTTTTTCAATTTGTTCCTAATCTGATTTTTTTTTTTCAACATATTTTCATTATTTAATCTTTTTCCTTTCTTCTTTCATTCAATTCCTTCTCTTATGCTTATTAATTCTGTTTCAGTTTTATCTTCACTTTGTTGCCTTTTAAATCATGTTTTTAGTTAATTCCTTATCATTTTCATGGCTTACAGCCATCTAGTGTAGAAACATCAGTTCCCATATGATCTTTGAAATTAAGCAATATAAAGCCTGGTTAGTACCTAGATGGGCGACTGCTTAGGAATACCAGGTGCTGTAAGCTTGCATGTTTGGGTGGTGTATTGGCTAATGGCTTGGAATTGTTCATCAGAAAGTCAAGTCCAATTCCAGTTGGGTTCATTATATTCATTTACGTGCAAAGACTCTTGGGAAAGTTATGAATACACTCCTTCTCCACCAGCTAGGGATTAATTACAAAGACTGGTATCACTAAATCATTATTATCTTAAAAAAAATACTTACAACCTACAAATATTTTCTGGCTTTAAGTAACCTACAAAAGATTGATAAGCCATAGAAAACGAACCAAACAAAAAAAAAAAAATAATCATTTTCATATATCTTTTATTATTATCTATATAATTATTCTACTTGTTTGTATCTACAGCCATAACATCATCAAGGATCATAGTGTAGTGCCTGTGCTTGATTCCTGGTCTTCTGAACTGGAATCAGTTACACTTTATAATTGAGAAATCTTTTTCATATTAAAGTATTGCTATAAAAAAGGGAAAAGAAGAGAGGAGGGAAAATGATTGTGTGAATAAGGAAATATATGATGTAAGAAAGCTAGAGAAATATGAAAAGAAAAATTGTGTTTGTACACACACACACATATATATATATATATATATATATGTGTGTGTGTATCTGTGAGAGAAGGGTGAGGACAAAAGAATGACACAAAGGCAGGTTTGCTGGCTGAATATCAAGAGACAATGAATGGAAGATTGAAAAGCAAACTGGGATAAAAAGACATAAAAATTGTGATACATTGAAATTCTTTATGAACAGATAGATCAAAAGAAAGATAAGAGAAAAGGATGCAGTAGAAATTATTCTTTATTCTCCCCCCCCCATATGAAAATAATTTGCTTATGTACATTTAGATAAAGACATAGACAAGGTAGTAAAAATTGGTAAGGGAGAGAATGAGAAGATACAGGCAATCGGTGAGAGAAGAGCAGAGGAAAGAGATAATGGATAATCTTAGTCAACACTCATAGAATTTCTGATGGTCTAGTTTGTGGGATAAGGCAGAGAATGAGAAGATACAGGCAACAGAAGAGAGAATAGGAGAGGCATAATGGATAAACATAGTTGTTAACACTCATGGAATTTCTGCTGGTCTAGTTTGTGGGATAAGGCGGAGAATGTGAAGAACAGAGGCATGAAATAATGGATAATCTTAATTGTCAGGAGATGTGGAATGTATGAACTATTGCTGCTATATATGGGCAGGAATTACCCTGTCGTCACTTTCCAGTCTCGATAAAAGTCCATAAGTGTTCTTGTATCCTTGTAGGTGATGAATTATTTTCCACTCTTGGACCCCTTTCACATAGAGTAGTGAGAGGTTTGGCCAGATGAACTATATTCATTAGTTCCACCAATTCTAACCTTCACGGCTAAGATTCACCATTCCATGTACATTGTAGCAAACCACCTTCATTTCCTTTGTATTCATTTTGGTGATCTGTAAGTTCTACTTGAACAGCTTCTTATCATGAATTGCAATTTTGTGGAACTGACTCCCAAGAGGTTGCTTCCCTTATCACTATAATCTTAGTCTGTTCGTCTAGGGTTAACTGTTATTTTTCACAAATATTGATATAAACTGTTCCTCTTGCTCTATAACCCTCTACTTTGAGTGGCTCTTGGGCCTTGTACAGAGTGAACATTATTGTAAAAAAAATTTCCCCACGTCCATCTAATTTTATTTGGATATATAGGTAGTATTACCATTTCAAAGATTTTTTGGTGCATTCTAAGAAATTGGGTATTGCCCATGTTACTCAGATGCTTTGCCTTCTCAATATTATTTTGTCTATCTTTTCTTTATTTCTTTTTTACTCCTACCAATCTGACCTAACTGCTTTTTTTTCCTTCTTCTATGTACCATGCTTCTTCAGGACATTGGTGATCATGGCTCTCCACAATTTCCTGTCCTTTGTAACTCTTAATAAATTTTGTCTTTTTGCTAAATCCATTTACTCAAGTTCAATAGGTAGGTTATACATTGTTTTCTTCTTCCCCTCTTGCCTTCAAACTTTCCTGTCTGTAACAAATTTCCCAAGACTGCTTTCATTTTTATGTGCCCTAGGCATTTCACTTTTCTGATAAATATAAGTGTCCTTTTTGTTTCCATCTTCTCTAAAACTAATGTCATTGCTTACATGTTCTGCCAACAGTATTCTCAGCATCCTTCTGTAGAACCACATTTCTGTTGTTTCAAGTCTTTTCTTCATCTATGAGGAGATTTACCAGTATTCATTCTCATATAGTTAGATTGATAATTACATTAATTTAGTACTCTTTTTCTTTGTTTTTAAGGAAATTTTCCAGTTTCTAAATGCTTTGCTTTGCTTTTGAAAGGCATCTTTTGCTATCCCAATGTACCTTTGGATTTCAGTATCACACTTTCTGCCTAGATATATAAATTGTTCTGCTTGTTTGATTTTGGTATCGCTAATTTGTAATTTGCATGTTCAGCAGTCCCTTTTGCTGACAACCATTTGTATTGTTCTCTTGCAATTAAATTCCTTTTTATTTGTTATTAGTTTTTACATGTAGCATAAAAAATGATGGAAATATTTAAGTGATTTTGTGATCAAACTTGTTAGATTTTTATTTTAACATGAGTAAACTAGCATTTGAGTGTATACTTAATTCTCAATGCATGTAGGAAAAAATTCTTTTTAATCATTAAAATTTAAAAAAATCCAAAAGCTAGCCGAAAAGAAATAAAATCTAACATACTAGCAACTTGATCTCTTTTTACTCCTTGTTAACATGAAGTCTGTCTGTTGAATTCAAGTGATGCTTGTTGTTAGACAATGGGATATCTCAATAAAAAGAAGGGGAGATCAGGCTGTATGACTGATAAATATATAGTATCACATTATTTTTTTTATACTATAGAATAGATTTCCTTACAATCCCCCCCCCACATCATCTCATTTTTTTATTTTCCTACTGTTTTCTCTTGTTTTACTTGTTCTATAAATGCTGAAAGCTTTCTTAATTTTTTTTTTTCTTCAGTAATTTCACCTGTTCTCTAATTTTCCTTCTTCGTTTCATCCACATTTTCCTTCTTCGTTTCATCCACATTTTCCTTCTTCATCATTTGTTTTTTCTTTTTTCTTTCCTTTTACTTCTTTACTCTTGTTTTGCTTAACCTTTCCTTTAATCATTTACAACTTTTCAACCTTCTATTTTACAAACCCCCCACCAACATCTCCATCTATATTCCTTCTCCCCACCTTTTTCTGATACCATTTTAACTCCTTTCTTTACTTGTTTTCCACTCCCATCTAGGTAAACTGTCTCACCTGTGTCTGTTCATAGTTAATTCTAGACCTAGTTTGGTTCAGATTGAGTTTTAGTAAGTTACAGCAATAGGGGTAGCAGGGTGGATGAGATGCTTGACTTCTTGGGTAGCACTTTCCTTGGCAAGATTTTTTTTTTTTCTGAAAATAAAAACAACAAAGGCAGCTGCAGCAGTCTTGACATTCCACCCAACACTTCTTCCCTGGGCTGGAATGATAAGAAACAAATAAAATATGGAATACATGATAAAAGAGTTTACATATATATATATATATATATATATATATATATATATATATATAACAAAATGCATGTTCATACAAACTAATAGTACTATTAAAAACTTTAACTCCCTCAGATAAATTTGTGTATACGTTTGCTAAGAATACATTTGTTGCTACAATAAAGAAATCCATTTTACCACAAGCATGGTAATAAAGCCACTAAGACACACAGTAGTTACTGTGTATCATAAAATAAAAAAAGAAAGAAAAACAATATTAAGACGATAAAACAATAAAAGATCAGATATAAAGATTAACATTGTTGCTTTCCAGTTAAAAATTTAAATGCAATCTGGAAGAGAGTTCCATAAGCAAGAAGGGCAAGAGAAGAAACTGTTAGCATAGAACATATGGTTACATCTATTTCAACTGCAAAATGATGAGACCTAACTGCCAATCTAGTACTGTACTTAAATTCATAAAGTTCAGGTACAAAAGTAAAGAGCTCATTTGAACAATTACCATTAATGTATTTATAGAAAAGGCACAGGGAAGCAACATTATAGTGGTGGGATGTCATGGTAACCAAAGAGGAAAGATGAAAACAATTACCATGTATGAAAACACTAGTTTTTTCATGTTTTTATAAAAATTGCAAAAAAACGTCTTATTGACAAAAAACATATTTCATGAGACATTTGTCAATAAATCTTCACCTTATACAATTCAATATCTGTCTATATTTCTGAGATTTGATATTGTAATTATTTACATTATTTGGACTGTTATCCTCATCTTTATTGCCATATTCACAACATTTTGGCTGTTTTATGCTCCGATCTTCTTCAGGATCTGTCTATATTTCTGAGATGAGATATTGTAACTATTTACACTATTTACCTTGTTTGGACTGTTGTCCTCATCTTTATTGCCATATTCACAATGTTTTGACTGTTGTAGGCTCTAGTCTTCTTCAGGATCTGTCTATATTTCTGAGATGAGATATTGTAACTATTTACACTATTTACCTTGTTTGGACTGTTGTCCTCATCTTTATTGCCATATTCACAATGTTTTGACTGTTGTAGGCTCTAGTCTTCTTCAGGATCTGTCTACATTTCTGAAATGAGGTATTGTAACTGTAATGAGGACTGTTGTCCTCATCATGACGTTTCATGCTCCAGCCATTTTCAGGTGATTGGAATTTCAAACCAAGCCCTTTATTTCATCCACTGGGGTAGATTGTTCTAGTTTCATGTGCCATGCCTCTTCCAGATATTTCAGTTATTACCTTTTAGTAATTCAACTCTCCAAGTTTTTTGTAGCCAGGTATTGAACTCGCAATTCTTTGAGTCAAGTCACTGGATTATTTCAACCAACACATTTATCCACTGCGCCATGTGTCCTCAAGGACAAAAGTGGATACAATACACTTTCAAAATTTTCAAGCTTAATTTATATTTTACAAATATTAATTTATTTAATTA